GAAAATGAATCGAGGACGGGTAGTGATGGTGATGTAATGATGGTGGGGACGACCGGGGTGGTGATAACGGAGAAACGGAAAAGCGTTCCGCCACGGGAAAGGAACAAATGCTTCGACATCTCTTCGTCGCGCTGTGACGAATCGTTCGACGAGTTTTCGCCGCGCTACGACGTCATACGTGCACACATATATGCACACATATACTCGATCGCGATGAGGTATCCCCCCCCCCCTCTCTCTCTCTTTCATTCACTTATTCATTCTTTCATTCATTCTGTAGGTACAGCATTCGTATGACGTGATGAACGATGACGAGGACTAAATATGACGATATCCGTCCGACCAACCGATCGACCAACCGACCGATTATCGAAAGTTGAATGTACACTAAGCGAACGAAGAAGAAATGAACGGCGAACGCAAATATTCGTTGTTACAATCTGAAAAATGTGTACGCCACAAGGAATAGAACGTTTCAGATCGATTTGCTCATTCACAGTAAAAAAATTGTGCGTTAAAAACGGTCCATTGAAATTTTGTGTTGCTTTAACACGGCGAATGTGTTGGAAAGTATACAAATATAGTGTTAAATTAATATATTCACCTCGTGAACAGATGTTGACAAGGTGAATGTGTTAATTTAACACTAAAACTACCGACGATTAACGTGTACCTTTCTGGCGGAGCAATTTAAATAAGATTTTTGAAAAAAATACGTAATGTAAAGGAAGAAAATATTTATTTGTTTACACATTGCGACAAAAATTACGGTTAATCTCAAAGAATGCACCATTAGAAATTGAAATAACTTTTGTACGAAAAAATTACAAACCGGTCATTTTGACCGCTTCGGTAGTTTTAATGTTAACATTATAATTATGTACCTTTTATCCCCCATGTTAATCCTAATTACGCGCATTACTTATTTTTGAGTTCTTAACACTAGAATTGCGGCTGGATGAACTTTTAACCCAGTAGATAATTTTTGGATAATTTGTAGATTATTTTTTCCCATTTCTTTGGATTTTCATCACTGGGAAGCCTTCTTTATGATAAAACAATTAAACAATACCATGAAATTAAAAAAAATTCACGGATAATTACAAAAACAAAAGATAGGTCAAAGGCGACCCATCCGTGGTTCTTGGAGAAATTTGTGATTTGCCGTGGTTCTAATTAATTAATTAATCCTAATTACTTCTAATTAACTAATTCTAATATATAAATTAATTTTTCTGTTAATTTGCCGCACTCCAGTCCATGAGACCGCTCCACTTTGTTATCTTGTCATTTTCGTTCTAATTTATATTTTTAAGCCTGTGATGTGGGAATTGGAAATACAGAGTTTGTATAAGATGTTTATATCAGGTCAAGAAAATGATTTGAGTTTAAGTTAAACTTATAATAATAATAATAATAAGAGAAAAGGTGTTTTCGAAAAAAATTTTCGAGTGGTTTCCAAATAAATATAAAAAAAAAATATTCGTTCGTTATAGTAAACACCTGCTTAAAAAAAAAAAGAAAAGAAAAGAATGCCATATGAAAACTAAGAAATCGAAAACGTTCAATGGGTCCACTGGACCGAAGTATGCTGACCTAAGATTAAATCAACACAAAGCTTCATTGGGCCGTTTTTAACAGAAAATTTCTTACTATACAAAGCGGTTTATCGAAGAAAGTTCGTTTAGACGCGCGAATATGCGCATTCGCATTACGCATTCGCCGTTCGTTCGTTGTTGACTCGCTCAGTGTATGCCCAGCTGAAATACGTGACGCGAATACTTCGGGGAACGAGCAGATCGCCGAGCGTCGCGGACGTGCTTAACCGGCAAGCACGTCCGACAGCAGATCTCTTCACCTACCGTCACCGCTGCCGATTAATCGAGCTACGAGAATGGGCCGAGATATAATCGACGATCGCTCTTATCGCCGCTTACTCTTAAGCTTCTAACGTAACCGCGCGCGTGAGCTGCTCGCTGAAGAAGTACACTTCTACTTTCGCACCGTGCTCAACAGATACAATATACAAACTTCGCGCGCGAGCGGGTTTCTCCCCCTCGGTCGTCCTACCCTTCGTGAAACGCGACTCAGGCTACCGCTTCGCGGGGCGAACGCTCGCGCATATCCGGGTAATTCGCGTTAATATATATATATAGTCAATCGCCATTCGGAAACTATGTGTTCTCCATCATAATAAGTTAACGAGTTAACGAGGAAGCTTCGTAAAGACAATGCTATCCGGGAGGAGAAAAGGAGAAAAGGAGGATGAGGAGGAGGTACGTACGAACGAGAGGTCGACGAGAAAGCAGGACGAGGAAGACACTGGTCGACATTGCGACTCCGTATTTGCCGATCGCTTGTTGCATCCACGACATGCGTTATTACACTGTACTTGGGTCTCTGCGTTATAAGTATTTGGGAAAAAGAGAGATAGCCGTGTCGAAGGAGACGACAATGATGATGATGATGACAATAGCGATAATCGTGGTGGTGATGACGATAGTAGTGATGATGATAATGACGATGATGATGACGACGACGATGATCTCGCGACTATAGTAGCGATCGTAATAGTAATAACGGTAATAGTAGTGATAGTAGTAGAGTATAGTGTGTAGTGGTAATATAATAATATATAATTAATATATAATAATCATCAATAAACTCTGCAATATTTAATACAGGTTTGTTCATATGGACTAGATACACCTTCTCTCGGAGCGACGGACGCGCGCGCTCCTTTTGCTCTCTTTCTTCCCACCTCCGTCTTAATCTCGCCTTGATCCCTGTCTGCTCGATCGTTGACAACGGGGATATGATGTGATCAGTCGAATACATCGATGGCAGGCCGGAGCCATATATCTATTAAGATATCGTGGGCGATAGCTGTTGCCGCGTGTGTGCGTCAACATGTCCCGAATTCCACGTAGATCTCGGCGCTATCGGTGAAAAAAGAACGAAAAAATAAAGAGAGAGAAAACCAAGACACCGGAGTCTTCTTCCTTCGAAACGCCTTAATTATCGGCACATTATACGCTATATATTGCTCACGGAGCACACGGAGGCTGGTTGTTTCTACGCGGACGCGACCTCGCGCGCTCAAGAGTATAATCTCGTCAGCAACGAGAGACGCTTTCGGTCGCGGCTTCTCCAAAAAGAAGAGAAACATAAGAATCAGATCTCTCTCGACCGCGCATCGAGGTCGCGAGGAATACGCATCCTTCTTCCTCTCGCTCACTCGCTCGTTCTCTCTCCTCTCGATATATACTATTTCGTTAGAAATGATAGACAACGAACGAAACGGTTCATCGCGGAAAGAAGCTCTACACGCGCGCAGGCGGCGTATACACATCGTCTCACCACGTCTCACTGGCACCGGAAACGATTCTCCTTCTTACCTAACGTTCAACGCTCACGCGTGCCTCTCTCGTGTCTCATTCATTGACGCGCGCGCTTCCTCGGCTGAGCGTTTCATCAACAAAGGCTGCAGCACTTAGAAGCGTCCCCGAGGTGAATGTGGCAGACCGTCGGCACGCCGGCGGCGCAGCCTTTGCCGACGATGCTCTCCTGCACGAGGTGCGCCAGGCCGAGGTTCTGATTGATGTCGCCGTCGCTGCCGCGGTGCTGCTTCGCGTCGCACCATTGCCGGCGTTCCCGCCATTTGTCCTCCGCCGGCGGGCACAGCAGCATCGACTTGGGCGAGGGCGGGCTGACGCGGTCGCGGGTGATGCTGCCGCACGAGCGCGCCTTGTAGAGCCGGCCCTTGCCGAAGATGCCCGGCAACGGCACGCAGAGCTTCTTGTGCACGGCGAAGTAGCGGCTGAGCAGCCGTATCTTCCGGCTGCTGCTCTTGCACTCGTTCCGGTTGATCGGCGCGTTGCGGTTCTCCTTGTCGTTGCACACCGCCGGCCGACGGTCGTCGGCCGTCGTCCGGCAGTCGTCCGGTTGCCGTTGGCAACTGTTCTTCCCGTCGGACGACGAGTGTTTCGAGGGCTGCTGCTGCGTCTTACCGAGCGACCAGCTCTGCAGCAGCCTCGCCCCCAGACCCTTCGCCTTCTGCACCGTGGTCGTCACCTGAGAGACCGGCTGAGCGGCGGCTGACGCGCCGTGGGAAGCTGCGCTGCTCTGCGACACCGAGGACGAGGAGGACGGCGAGGCTAGGTTGGTCTGCGCGCCGAGGACCGCCGGGCTACGCGACACGTGACAGTGATTGTAACAGGGCGCCTCGGCCTCTTGGACCTCGGTGATGCGGTTCAGCGATTGGCTCTCGCGCAGCCGCGTCTCGCCGGCTCTCCTTCGACCCGCGCGATGCCTCCTGCCGAACATCGTCTGGTTCTCGGTGCACCGGTGCCTGCCGCCGGTCGTCGTGGTGGTCGTGTTGGTGCCGCTGCCGCCGTCGCTCCGACTGCTCTCGGTCGTCGTCGTCGGCGCGTCGGTGTGCTCGCCGTTGCTCACGCCGCTACCGCCGCCGCCGCCGACGCCGCCCCTGCCGCCGCTCCCGCCGGGATCCTGCGAGTCGCTCGAGTCGTCGTGGCTGTCGCGCCTCGGCGGCAGGGACTTGCCCGTGGACGCGCCGCCGAGCTTGTGCGCGCGCTTCTTCCTGCTCTCGCTGTCGTCGTCGCTGGCGTCCGAGCTGGAGCACGAGGTCGTGCGCGTCTTGTGGAACTTGCTGCGACGCTGCTCGTACGTCGTCCGCCTGACCACGCGGCACTTGCCCGCCGCCGTAGAGCCGCCGCATTCGCCCGCCTGCATCTGCATGCCGTCCCCGTCCTCCAGGATCTCGTTCAGCGTCAGCTGCGGCGAGTTCGCGCCGCTGGGCGACGGCATGGTCTTGTACTTGGGTATCAGCGTCAACTGGTTGTCGCCGATCGGCCGGAGGGGTATCGACACCGTCGACGATTCCAGCAGAATCGTAGTGGTCGTCGTCGTGGCTGCTGCGGACGGTTTCGAGGGGTTCGCCGGCGCGGACAATTCCGTGGGTGGCAGGCTGGGTCGATGATGCTGCGCGCTTGGCTTCCACTTGTTCGTCGACTTCAGACACTCCGTTGCTAATTTCGGCCGGACTTCCGCGCCGGTGGTGGCCTTCCTGGACCACCCGGTCGGCTGAGTGTTCGCGTCGCTCAGTAGGTTCTTCAGATTCTCTTCGCGCGTCGACGTGATCCATGGCGTGGGCAGTTCCTCCAAGAGAACCTCGCCCGTCTTGATCTTGCTCTTCGGATGCGCTGGAGACGACGTCTTGTTGTCTTTCTCGTTTCTCGCGCTCTGCTTCAGTCTCTCCCCTCGGTCGGAGATTACGGCGGTCTCCTCCTTCTGCGGATGCCGTTGAACCGGCACGGCAGGTTTCATTCCGCTGTGCTTCTCCGGCAACTGCGATAGCTTCTCCTGCAGGATATGCGAGAGCTTGCCCTCGGAACGAGAGCCGCGGCGGTTGAAGGAGTTCAACGCCGAGTTACTGCCGCGCTCGTCCCGGCCGGAACACGAGGACACGTCGTCCTCGTCTTCCTCTTCCTGGACGATACTGCACTTTCGCGTACGTACGTTCTGCAACGAGAAGAGCCATCTTTTTTCGCGAGAGGAACGCTACCGTCCGCGATGGCAGGCCGCTGTCACATGCTGCCTGCCGTGACTTTACGCTCGTTCAGCTTAGCAGACGTTGCTCTAGGCGACGGACATGTGATACTACGTACCTGCGGTACGTCACCGGGCGTCCGTGGTACGCTCAGTAGCGACTGGTTCACGGTGCCCAAAGAGTTCTGATCCGTACGCAAGTTCGACGTCAAGTCATCTTGCCGACTGCACAGAATTTCAACTGGGGTTGGGCGTTTACGTGTAAAATACAGTAGTAGTAGTAGACGTCTACACGTGTGAACAATGTAAGCTATGTATAAAATGTCATCTGGACAATAAGTGATCTATGAACCGTTATGGAATAGCTCGTCTTTTCTTCCCAGTGAACATCAACTAACAGTAGCATAACATCAATGTTATAATTTCTCATTTAACAATGTGAATGCAATAAAACGCTTCACGTAACATTGTTGAATGGAAAATAACAACATTGATGTTACGTTACTGATAGTTGTTTATTGGGTCCTTATATTTTGTAAGTTTTACCGTTGAAAAGCTCACAGGTAAATATCTTCATAATTAACACCAAATCGGATACGTGAACTATTTTATAATACAAACTAATTTAGATTAATAATGTATTCTTTTCTTTCTCTTTGCACACTGTGCCATGTAATTAAATAATATTTTACATAGTTTACCTTGTTCACATGAAAATGTTCGTGTAAGCATCATGTAGGTAAAACGTAAATTACCTATGTAGACGTAATATTAAAATCTACGGCACAACTCTGAACTGAACGACAGCACTACGTCGATGTATCAGTAATAGAATATGCAAGTAGTATAAACGTTTAGAAGCCGCGTCTTTAATGAATGAGTCATCGTATTAACAACGACGCTAATGAATGATTCAGTAATAAGCGATTCGGTACTCGGAGACATACCTCGGGGAGACGTCTAGATTTTCCGGCCGAGCCTTCTGCATCTGCTCTTGTCGATGAGCGCGCAACTTCCTCTCCGCTAGTAGAAAATACGTCGCGGTGATGTGGTTGTATTCATTCTTGTCGAGCGCGCTGTAGAAGAAAAAAAATTCCAATTAGCATGTCAGGAGTCGCGTGAAGACACGCATGTGTTCGAGTCGTATTAAGGAGATGTCGAAGTCGATGATGAATTTGACAAGCGTCGGTAACGCAGAGGCGATTCTCAAAATATATTATGTTACATAACACTGACACGATCACGCTATTCTTTTTGTATTTCTTGTACAGTCGGCATAGTAAAAGTTAACATTTTTTTTTTCGACGAGTTTCGCAACGCTTTCAACGCCCAACAGGGAAGTTCGTTTCTTAGTAATTCTCAAGAAATATATTTTCCTTCCGGATACGAAGTGCGTTGCGAAAAACTTATCGAAAAAACATATTACCAATTTTATTACGCCGACTGTACAGGTAGATCTTACGTAAGTGCCATATAAATGAATGCGACGAATGCTATTTTACTACATCTAAATTTTTTCCAATGGGAAGTCTAAGCAAGTTATATAAAATTTATTGACAAACATTTCGTGTCTTTTCAGACCTCTAAATTTAATTTACGATATAAAAATGTTCTCTTTGAAATTTTCTTGATTGGAGCATCGACATATTCTGTATGTACAAAACTGCAGAGTTTCCGTATCAGGTGAATATTTACGTTAGCTGACAGTTAGAAATGTCAATTTTGACATTTTTAATCGTTTTCGTCTCACACTGAATTCCAATTCGTCTTCGTGCGTACTTTCACTGTATAAAAGCATTTCGATAAAATTCTGCGCAGTAATATGACGTAAACTTGGCGGAAAGAAGTCGGTATTTAGCCGCCAAAGCGTTCAAACATGGCATCCTCTTAATACGAAAGACGGAGAGAAACGAATATCTCTCTTCTCAAAACGTCTACTCACTCCAAAATCTCCTCCTTGGTGGCGATTTCACCTTTCACCATTTTGGCAATTATGTGATTGTGATGGTCGTCGGAGACCTGCTGACGCGACACCAGCGGCAACGTCTCCATGGTGTCGGAATCCGAGCCGATCGCCAACCACGGATCCGCCGCGATCTCCTCGAGGGAGGCCCTGCCCTCGGGTTCCCGCACGAGCATCTTCGCGATCAGCCGCTTACAGTCTTCGGACACGTGCGCCGGGATCGAGTACTTGCAATCCATGATCATCGTCAGCGTCTCGCTGTCGTTCGCCTCTTGAAAGGGCGCTTGGCCGCATACTAACATGTACAGGATCACACCTAACGACCAAACATCTGCAACGAATCAACGACAACAGGACGTCAGGCCGAGTGGTGGGCTGCCGTCTCGCGTTTACCTTGCAAAGTAAGTGTTGCTACGAGAGAGCGTGTTCTTTGAGTAGTCTCTACGCAATAGTTCGCGCACGAGCTCAAGAAGTCGCCAACTTGATCGGCGACCGAGCGTTTTCGATTCAGGCCAGCTTTACGTTTATTCGTAATCACAACGATTAACGAGCTCTCACCTACTGCAGGCGCGTCGTAACTATCGCCCAGAAGTATCTCCGGGGCGGAGTAAGCTAACGAGCCGCACGACGTCTCGAGCTTCTGGCCCGGGCAGAATCGATTGCTGAATCCGAAGTCCGTGAGCTTCACCGTGCCGAGCTTCTCGAAGAATACCACGTTCTCGGGCTTCAGATCCCGGTGCACCACGTGCAACCGATGACAGTACGATATGGCTCGAACTATCTGCCGAAAGTAAGTCCTCGCCACCTGACAACAGTGGGAATTCAAGCGTTACGACGCGCATAGATGCGCCCGGCCGGATACTACGCAGTTTCAGCGTACTATTCAACGCATCATCGATACAAGAGCAATATACACAGGCGTTCTGCCGTATAATTAATGTCGAGTTGGCCGAAAAGTTCGGCTCGATCTTTCGTCTTCTTCATGCGGAGAGTGATATAAACCACCGGAAAATTTCCGATCTTTACGGAGGCAAATTTTTCCAGAAATTCCGTTCCCTTCAGCGAAGAAGAGCGTTTGGTCCGTCCGTTTTCACGTTAATTCAACCAATCCTTTTTCTCCGCACGAAAGTACACGAACGTCACCGGAATATGGGCAGAAATCACATACAACGAGACCACGATTATTCGGCCGACGAGTAATTTTTTCCCATCGAACGCGACAAAGTTACCGAATTTGTCGGAGAATCGAATCGAACTTTTCGATCGACTAATACTACAATTATCGCGCCAGCTTGAAAATACAATGTAAAGCGAAATTTCTCCGACGAGCATAAAGGAGGTACGATACTTTCTCTCGACATATAATGCATAATAATAGAGGCCGCGTTCGATAGTAAAGTTGAAACGGTGCGCGAACACCTCGATTTCGCGCCGGAGTTTCGTGTTCGGCGTGCGCGCGCGCGCGGTAATTGCAAGCCGGCGGCATAATGTAGCGACAATAGTCGACGACAACAATACCTCCTCGCTGAGGCCGCTTTCGTGGCGCATGATGTAATCGTAGAGGTCCCCGCCATCGCCGAGTTCTAGAATTAGGTATAGCTTCGTCTGCGTGTCTATCACCTCGTACAGCCGCACTACATTAGGATGCTGCACCAGCTTCATGCACCGCACCTGCCGGACAGCAAAGTCGATTCGCGATATCGAACGAGATAGATAGACAGATAAGGTTTCAGAGGATTCGTTTCGCCCGAGCGAATCTCAATCCCGGGGTCAACGATACTCTCCGCCATCCACTCGCATCATTATCTCGTTGACCTTAACGAGATCCGTCGCGGTATGAGGTCTGCGCGCGCGCGACGTAACTACGCGAGACCATTCCGATCATCTTTCTCTCTCTCTCTCTCTCTCCTCCGAACTAGCCATTAAAACAACATTACGCAAATCGGGGTGTCATCGGGCCACTCTGCCGGTTTCCATTAGCACATCAAACAGATTTCAGGCGGAAAGCCCGGCCTGTGACGCGATTGCGGAGTCGTGAATCGTGCAAAATTGAAGTAGCGATCGGGATGTTGTTAGAGCGCCGCTTGTTGGACCTCGCTCGGACGTGAAATGGACGCGAGATGTCATGTGAATCTGCGGCAATTCGCATCGATAGACTGGAAGTCGCGTAAACAGAGCGATACGAGGATACGGGAAAAAAGATGATCGGAAAAAAAACTAGCGTGGGAGAAACTAGTTTAGAGAAATTAATTTTTTTTCGGTTTCAACTATCAACCCTTTTTGGGTTTTAATTGCAAAAATAGTAGTAGCAATATGCGTCTAAAGTTATTATCACTGACACTGTAGCAGTGCAACACTTGCTAGAAAAATAGTCCCTGACTATAATTCCTTCATTATAGTGATCGTAGTAGTACAAATACCAAATGTCTATTTATTTAATATTTTTACTTATTTATTTGAATATTTTTCTCTCCACCTGTCAGTGATCAAAACCGATATTTTCTGGAAAAAAAGTTGGCAAAAACTGATCTTTTCTGTTAAAAATAATAAAATGAATAGAAAACCTTTTTATCGATATTTTTATTCACAGGCAGCCCGAGTCGTCCTATAATAACCTATGATCCTGTAAGCAAGAATTTGCGCGTAAAAAAAATGAGTAAAAAACGCGCGATCATATGTTCATACTTCGTATGAATCTTTTCGCACAACTGTGTTAAAGTAATTATTATACATTATCGTTTATTGGTTAGTTAACACAAGTAATTTGAGAAATGCATTAGGAGGAAGATACAAAGACACTGTGTGGACTTGCTTTAGTGACAACTGTATTTCCAAAAATTTTGTTTGAAAAATGTATCTCATATATCGATCTGAATTAAAAAAGACTTTATTATTATGTCGGTTTCATTTTTCTTTCGATCATAGCGATTAATATGATTCACTAATTAAAGCAAAAATATTTGTTTGCATAAAGTTATATAAATTTACTTTAGTGTTACTTGATTGATCCTTTTTTACAGTTTCTCTCAGTTTATTCCATTAGACAAAGTCCGAGACAATAAAAATCGAAAATATGATTTTTTCCATCTACTGAAATTTTCCGGCCAACCGTTCCTCCGTGTATAAATTCCGATCTTCTGATTTTTATTTGTGCGATTTTCAGTGAGGAGGCACGTTTCCTCCACTGTTTCCGCGAAGAAAAGCGGGGAACCGATCAAGAGTCGCGGAAAAGCCTGCGGGACGCAATCGACGAGCTTGATCTTTGCGAAAAGGACTTATTGTCTGTGTTTTTTGTTCTCTTACCTCCTGGAAGAGATGCGCCCTCGAGACTTCATCGAGTTTGCTCTTCTCGATGACCTTCACTGCCACCTTCTCTCCGGTGAAGACGTGCCGCGCCAGCTTCACCACGGCGAAGTGACCGCGGCCGAGGGTCTCTTCCAGGTCGTAGAGCCCGGCGATCTTGCCATCATAGTTCTTGTATCCCACCCTTCGATGCATCTCGTGCCGCTGCAATGCATATATCATCGCATGTTTCATCGTGTAAGACACGGGTGCAAGAAAGGGCACACCTTATTAATCTCCGATTAACGCCTCGCTCTTCGATCTTTCGAAAGATATTTCCGCTCGAGCTTCCTTACCTCGAGCTTCTTGCGAACGTGGTTCGACACGCACGATCGCACGATTACGCTGAATAGATAAATTTCGAACGTCGAATTCCGGCCGATCGTTTCGAAACGCGTTTACGACAGTCGCGTAACACGACGGCAAGACTACTGTCCACCCCGCGCGAGAAAGAGGTCACCATTATTTTTAGCGCCAGTAGGAGCAATAATTAATCGCTTCGCCAATGCATGGACATTCGGCCGACAACAGCGAAAAATATATCATGGGGGTAGAGTGACAGTGAAGGCCGATTATGTCGGCTCGAAGGAACACGAAGCAGCGCGAAGTTAACGAATTGTGCGCAGTCCACGTGAAATGACCGACGCGATTATCCCACTCGAAGTGTTGTCCGAGAGCGGAAGAATTCCCGAATAATTTCTCTATTCAAAAATCGCGCGTAATCGGAGACTTGAGCCGAGCGTATCGACAAGACAAAGTTGCCTTGAAATTGATTGGAGCGTAAAATTTTGTCGCAGTCTCAAAAATAGAAAAATTCAGCTCGTCGCTGTCGTTTGCACTTTTGATAGGTCGCATTAAGAGGATTGTACGGTGAAATGAGTTTGATAAGAATTTGATGAAACTTGTACCGCGTGTACGTTGAAAAATAATATCTAACTGCTCGTAAAATTAGAAAAATATTGATCATTCGAAAGCTGAGATATTTATAACCAAAATTGGCACTTTTTATATATATTCTTTGAGATTAGCGTTTCGTAATTTCTATTTTTAATATCTACTAAATTATATAAAAATAAGATTTCGATGAGAAACTACTATAATATTAAAGACTCATATACAGATATCATGCACGAATTTCAGAATTACTGACCATTTTGTTTTGAAAATACAGTGATGTAAAGTTTATAATTTATAGTAATACTCGAAATATGTTATTATCTTTATTAAGTAAATATTAGTAATGTAAATTATATTACATTAAATCAGTAGTGAGAGATATATTGAAATAGTAGAGTGACAGCTCATCACTGATTATACCCGACCAAAATATATATATATATATATTCTTTTTTGGTCGGATATATATTGGTTGAATATATATATGCATATATTTGAATTTATATATGTCTTTCTATCATCTGTACATCGGTATTACATCAACTGATGCATAAATATAGTATTAATAAAAAAGCTAAAAATAAATAAAATGTTTATATTTGTAGTATTATGTATATATGTTTACCTCAATTTCGCTTCAAATTAACATTTATTATTCAGGTAATGAAATTACTTAAAATTACTTAAAATAAAGACGTAATTATGTTTGACCGATTACTAAATTTTTGAATGGCCCCTCGATGCGCCACTGAAAATACGACGCTGAGCCTCACAACCTCCTTAAAGAGAAATGAAAAAAAAAAATGCGAACACAAGATACTTCCTTCGCGTTCACCTGCCGCCTGCTTCTTCGCGCGTCCGACGCCAAAATCGCGCTGACGCGAACACGGCATGAGAATCGCGCGCGATCGAATTTAGCGTTGGACGACGACGAGATTGCGAGCCGAGGTGGCCGACGAGGGAACGCATTGTCTTTGACGGAACGTAATTGCGAAACGCATCGTCGCGGGCTGCGCGACGCGGCGCATGGCATCGCGCATTCCATCCTCCTCCTGCCGCGAAGAGAGCAGGAGTGGACGCACGAAAATACAATATGACACGGGCCGCGAAAATCCCGATACACCCACAGCTTCCTTTTTGAAGACACCCACAAAGGAGTTTCTCGTCTCCGGTGCCGCCGTCGTCGTCGACGTTGAGCGGAACACGTTACGCTACCACGCGCGCCGTCGAATCATTTCTCGACTATGCGTGCTCCGGATGCTCTTAACGGGGATTACGAGGAACGCAAAAATAAACCTTGCCGGGGCAAGACGCGAGGAAGGAACTAATAAGGAGGCGGACGGCGGCCACTCGTTCGTCGAACGGGTGTTAGAAAAAGATGGGAAAAAATACACACCGGCCAAAAGTGCGTCTCTCTCTCTCTCTCTATCTCGCGCTGAGAGCGAAGAAAGGTCGTCGGCTAACGCGTTTTGCTCGATCCCTCCTCTCCTCTCCGCTCCTCTCGCTCTCTCGCCGTACGCGCAATTTTATATAGCGAGCGCCGACGCGCGGAGGACTAACATTCACCAACCAACGGAGAGGCCTACAGCTTTTATTTCACGCAAACGCGTCCATTGCCTACGGGCCGGCACGGTATAAATAAAGCGCGAGCATTCATTCGCCGTGCGTCGTTATTATTATCGACGACGAGCGGGCATTCCTTCGCGTCGTTCATTGTTAAGATAATAACGTCGTAAATTTTCGCGCGAGCGCATTAATCCCCTCGCCCCTCCTCCGTCTCTGTTACAGCGAATCCTCATCTCGTCGTTCGGGACAAGATCGAGACTCCCGGCAGGGCCGATTTATCGGTCGTCCCGTCGAAAAACGCTCCGCGAAAAACGGCAATAAATATTTATCTCGCGACGATGAAATAACGCGCGCGCGCGCGAGTACGATCGATGGCGCGCGCGGCGGTGGCGACTCTTCTTTGTGTTCGGTTGGGACTCGATTAAAATAAAATCGCGAACGCGTCATATCGAGTCGCGTTCCTTTCCGCCGGGAAATTAATTTGCCTTTACGTAATTGTAATTGATACGATTACGCCGAGGGGGGAGGGGAGGGGGGAGGCAGTAACACGATTACCGCAACAGCGCGCGAAGGCTCGACGATAATTTACGCGCGACGCAATTAATAACGAGAGCGATTGGATCGCGTGTGACGCGCACACCCCCTTGGTGTCGCATTGTTTCTCAACGTCTCGTAACGGAGACGACGAGCTTTACACCGTGTCTCAGTCTAGGCGGACCGAGCAAGCAATATTAGGAACCGGGTTATCCAGGTCAGGGGTCCCTAGCAAACGTGAGACCGCGCCGATATTGGCACTCTGTGAAATTATTACGCCCCGGTCCTCTGTGAAAATAATACGGGCGTGCTCTCTCGCGCAGCGCGGCTGGAACGCGCGGGGAAAATATCCCGCGGTGAGAAAAGAGAGAAAGAGAGGCAAAAGAGGAAAAAAAGAGAGACGAGTGAAACTTCACTCGCTCTGTCGGTGAACTCGGCCTCGAGTAACGTCGGCGTGAGGCTCGAGAGGGAGGGATAATTCGTGAAATTGTCCGACGTGAAATTAAAATCGGGATAATTGTGCGGCAAAATTTGCGAAAAACTGTGTCACGTTTTCTCCCCAAATAACACGCACGCTTAAACGATGTCCTTTAGACAGGGTGTTTATTCAAACCAGACAAAAATCCCCCGAGAATTCCATAATTTTCCAGGTGATTTGCTAAAAATTCCAAGTAAAATGAAAGTATTTTTAAGTGTATTTTGCAAATGAATATATATTTATTGTACAGTCTTTAATATTTTCCACTCATAAAAGCTGGTAAAACATAAAATAAGATTAAGTTATCATTCGAGTTTCAATGAGTAAATTTGAAAACTGAAGAAACTACGGGGACTTGGAAAAATAAACATTTTATATTGCATGAATTTTTAAATTTGATTTTCAAAAGTTACAAACACAAAAATTATGTAATGCATAACCAATACAAATTGCAAATTTATAAAACTAATAGTAGACACTCTCTTAGACGTCTTATTGTCTAAAAGACGTCTTTACGATGTCCTAGGAAGTCTTAACGTATCTGAGTCATTTGTGCATCAATCGGCGTTCCGAACGATAACTTTTGAGTATGCACGCGGAAGACACTCGTGTTTAGAAACAAGCACGATGTTATATCATGTCCGTCCGTCCGAACGGATTTTGTAACCACGATCGTTCGCCGCGGTGTATCGATTCTAGATATTCGCGTGCACTCACCGCGGGTGATTTTCCGTGCGCAAGGAAGGCGGAAGTTGTCCGAGAATGATCCTTTATTCCGTGCAGATCCCTCACACGGCGACGAATTGAACTTGACATTTAACCGATAACGTCCGCTCGCTCGCCCGGCTATCGAGATACGATGTACGGCGATGTCAGGCTTGACCCGCTTCTACACCGCACGTGTTCGCACAATAACGAGATGCATGAGCGTCAGTTGCATGTAATAAATTTACGACTGTGACTGGGAATAGCCGAAACCTTGTCTCTTATCAGTGACGCGCGGTGACTACCGTGAAAAATAAGTATACTGGAAAAGGCGCTGCTATATATAATGCCAACGGGTGGAAAACGTGACAGATAGATAACTAGGACAATCTCCCGAGTCGAAATTTTAAATTCTATTTTAAGTCTTGAAATGGAGAAAACGGAAAAATTCCCATTTGCACAATAAGTGCTCCTTTAATGCTACAAAGGGAATTTAATCCTCCCGAGCCTAAATTTGAGTTCTACATTAAGTGGAGAAAACGGCAACAATTTCCCCACTTGTAGCACCAAACGAGCACAGTAGAAGACCTTTGAATACTTAATGTAGGACTAAATTAAACTTAACCCGGGAATAGTCAACTTATTAATTTTTTTTTTTTTTTTTTTTTTTTTTATANTAAGGTCGTTTTGCACCTCAACGTGTTTTTACAAGCTTATAAATAAGACGGGTCACAGCTTATTCTTGTTGTTAGATCTCTAAATATCCAAATGAAAAGTACGTATTGGTTCCCGATCAGTAAAAACAAACCACTGCGACATGAGCTTCATTTTCTGACCACTGGAATATGAAAATGACCCCAGGGTTAAAGTAGAACTAAAATTTCGGCTCCACTTTTCTAGGCCCGGTGTCTTTCAGCATGGATGTATTTCAATGGTGACGTGCCGGAGCCGCCATCGCGTGATCCATCCGGTGATCCGAGCAGTC